GCTCTCCGTCTCGCAATAGGGTGGAGGGAGCTCAGCGTAGATGCTATCCTGCTTTGGATTGGTGGATTCCTGCTTGAGTTCCTCTTCGGTTCGTACCGTGTGGAGAGTTCGTCCAGTGAACTTGTCCTGTTCAGGGAACCACTTGTTGCGCAGTCTCTCTACAAGAGTGAGATTGACCTTGTCTGGATTGATTTGCAATGTTCCCTGATTGAAGTCGATTTCCGCATTGACCCTTTGTAGCCACGGTAGTCCTAGGATGATGGCCTCCTTTCCCAGTGAAGTGACAAGTAGTCGGAGCAGATGTTTGTGTCCTCCAGCTTCGATTTCTAGCACAACACACTTGTTGATGGTCCCTTGTTGGTTTGCTGTTCCGTCCGCATTGTGTACCCGTATTGGGTTCTTCAGATCTCGGCTCGGGAGCTTCTTCTTCCTGACATATCGGTAATCGATGAATGAGTCTTGAGCTCCCGTGTCAATGAGAGCTTCGGTTTCGACGGTTCGGTCCGTGATTATGGCAATAGGAATCCGCATGGATTGCTTCGGTACATTGGCCATAATTACTGCACGGACCTGCGTGCGCGGTGACGACGTCGAGGCGTACCGCGGCTTCAAAAACCCTCGTCGAGGAACTCCGAAAGCACTCCCTTCCTTTCCGCCGGGTCACTGATCCCTTGGAGAGCGGTGCGGATTCTAGCGGCGACCAGGGTTCTAGTGTCCGGGTTGGAGGCTTCATCGTCATCTTCTCTCTCCGGTTCTTCTTCGGCTTCCATAACTCGGTTCTTCCTGAAAGGTTGCTTCCCTTTCCCATTCTTCTTCAGGCAGTTCCTGGACAGATGTCCGATCTCGTGACAGTTGAAGCATCGTCCTTCCTTGTAATGCTTGTCGCGTTCTTCGGCTGTCATGCGGTCCACATCCATAGCGTCAGGATCTCTTTCCTTGGCTTGATTGTGATTGTAGCGCCGCGGAATGAAGTGGTTCTTCTTGTGGCTCTGTCCTCCTCCTCGATCATAGGCTTGTCCCAAGCGCCATTGTTGCTCGAGACGTGCTGCCGTCTTGTACAGGTTGACTGCGTCTGTCGGCATGGCTGAAAGCCCAAACATCTTGTCGCGGAGCGGCTTGTTTAGCCCTTGGTAGAAGAAGTCCGCAATGACGTCGAACTGGGAGATGCCGCATCGAGAGATGATGTTCTTGAAGTCGATGATGTACTCGTCAATGGGCTTCTTGCCCTGGGCGAGGTTCCGGAGTAGGACACGTGCACTTGCAGCGTCGTCCACGTCTTCGAACGACTCTTTGATGCTGTTCTGGAATGATGCCCATGTTCCGTAGCTGGGCTGATTTCCGTTCTCCGCATTTGCTTGTGCTTGGGCTTGCGTGATATAATCGCTGGCCCATGGTCCTGCAGTTCCTCCCGTCATCAGCATCAACGCGAAGATGATCTTCTTCTCGTCCTGGTCGAATTGGGTTCCGTTGAATAGGAAGTACAGCGTGCACTTCTGTAGCCATCCTTTGGACTCTCCTCGTTCTCCTGAGAATTCCGGAGGCATCTTCAGCTTAAAGCGCTCTCCATTGACTTGCTCTGCCATGATGTTTGGTCGGTTCACGGGTGCGGGTGGATTCGGTGGAGGATTTGGGGGTTCGACCGGGCTTTCGGATCGATTTGAGGGTTCTTCAACTGGTCTCTCTGGTGGGTTCTCTGCCACGGGGGTAGGTGCGCTACTTGCACTGGATCGTCGAGATCCACTAGTGGAGCTTCCTTCTGGTTCGATATTTCTGGGTGTCGGGTTTGCGGATGCGATCTGTTCGATGGGGGTCGGGACTGGGGTTACTCGTGGTGGTGTCGGAGGTTCTCGTCCAGTGGTCGTTCGGTATCGTTCGTCGTAGTCAGAGTACGTTGCTCTGAGGTCTCCAAGGGTAGCTTCCGCTTGGATGTCTGATGCGTAATCCCAGCTGTTGGGGTTCTTCGGGACAATGAGTCTATTGTCGTAATAGACTAGTCCGGTGTTCGGGTTGAAGGACCACTTTGGTCCTTGGGCTGGGAGGGGTTCCGTTGTCGGGTTCTTCTGCGCTACCGTCGGTCAGAGGTAGCGGCTCCGGGTCGTTCGATGGTTCAGGCTAGATTGTCTGGATCTAGGCAGATCGACTGTCGAGTAGGCGAGCTCGACCTTATGTTAAGACGACACCTTCGAGGGTCGTGGTAACGTTCAGGTGCAAGGGCCTAGCAGGCAGGAGAGGAGACTCGAGTTCAGGGGTGAAGGTGATAGATAACCAGGTCGAGCTGAGGACCATCCTCAGCTCTCCAGGGGTCCTAATATACATAGAAGCCATGCTGAAACGGTGCGTACTAGGGGAGGTAAGCCTGCTACCTACGGGACCGTAACAATGAGGCGCTGCCTCATGGTGTCCGCACCGTAGCTGTACTGTATCCGCGTGTAGTCCATCCACATCAGTAACATGAGGCGT